GTTCATAAATCCAAGTTTCCAAAGCAATATTTTCCTCTAGTCCCTGGGGTTGTCCTACTTGCAGTCTTTGGGAAGATCATAACTTTGCTGTCTCCTGGGCATAATGATTCACTCATTCTGTCTCCAGAAGCAGTTGCCGCCTGCTGAGCCTTTCTCTTGTTACTTCTTGTTAATGGCACTAGAAGAGGCTACTATGTCTCCAATCAAAAGAAGGATTTTTTGGCAAGGGCAGAAGAGAGCCTCACAGTCTCCCTTAACAGCCTTGTACTTCTTGTCAGCATCTTAGGATAGGAGGGAGAAAATCTTCCTTTTCTACTGTAATAGTTCCACATTAAGTCCCAGGACAAATGTTTGCCTCGTGGCTTCGTGGAATAGCTGAGAGAAATATAACTGACCGTAGCATGGAGTTTACTACAGACCAAAATCTTTGAGGATCAGTAATAGTTTGCCTCTTCCTAACAGAAAAAGGGAAAAAGGAAATAAAAAGAGAAAGTGAGTGAGAAAAAGGAAGATCACAGAGATCTCTCAGATTTCCTCGGAGAGCCATTGGGATATAATAAAAATAAGCATCGCTCCTAGGAGAAAACACAAGGGAATATAAAACTGTAGATCTGAAGGAAACTGAGAACAGCTGTGGGAGGATATGAGAGAGGGAGTAGGCATCTGGTCTGTGAGTGCAGGATTCATGAATTTTCCCACTCTGCAAAAATTTAATACACATAACTGCAAGTCTGAGCTGAGTGGCATGGATATGAAGAGGTTATGTGCTTCCTGGAGAACCAATGACCATTGGGCATAACCAACAAAGTTACAGGAGATCTATACTTTCTTTATGATGTCTTGGTTTTATTTCTCTCAAGAGAGTTCATAGCTTGGCGTCTTGTATGTGCTGCTACTCACTGAATAAGCCCTGTTCGCGTGCTAGAGCTTGAATGGGTGCTTATGCTGAATTATCTCCTCGTTACCTGGGTCCCTTATCTGGTTTAAGTGGAACCAAGCTCGTGCTTAATTTGACCCTCAGATTTAGCAGACAGTGAGAATTAGGTTGAATAAGGTGGTTATGATCCAAGTTATGATCCATGATGTATGACTAGGAGGGAAAAAGTGAAACAAAACAATTTCCTTAGGAAAGTGTACACGTTGATAAAACTGTTCATGGAAAACCTGACCAAGGTCTTCATTGCTAATGTCTGCTTTGATTGCTGTACTGTCCCAAAAGCATTTTCACTTTTAACTTAAGCATTTTCTTACTGAAGGCTTAATCCTTCATCTGTTGCTAAGGCCGGTGAAAACAAATTGCTCCATTAGCAACAGGCTGATTAGCTCTCCAGTATACATGTAATGTCTCTTCAGCAGCCAGCTGACTTTTAACATTAGTAAGGGATTGAGTTGGAAGTGACAATTCTTATTTTGACTCGTCTGCTCAGGCTTCAATTTTCATGAAACTTGTAGGAACTTTATTTCTTTGAGTCCTGTACTCCTCAGGTTTGAAACTGGCCACAGAGTTGAGTAAGGGAATGGCAGATGAATGGAGGTCATGATCTCATAAGCTTCATCTCCTTTAGAAATGGTCAGCCGAAAACTTGCAAGTTTCTGTTTCTGATTCTAAGAGAAGCAACAGCTTTGGATGGTCTGAAACCAAACTAGACATTTGGAAATGGAAAGGTTTTTTTATGGTTACTAGCTTATCAGTGAAACTAGATTACTGCTAGTTTTTCTAAGTGAACATCTATCCCTATATCAAGAAGGTTTAGATAATACAAAAAATACAGTGATTATGCACAAATTATTTTTCTTGCATGGCAAATGAGCTTTTCATGCCATCACCTGTAGTACAAGCAAAGGGATTAAGTTAGTAGGATACTAGTCACTTGTAATGAGTATTAGTGTTGAGAGGAATAGTGGAATAAAGCACACTGAAAAAAACAAGCAATGGGGGTAATTAAGTCAAACTAGTGACTATGCAAGAAAGCATCTATTAAGCAAGTATGGATTTTTATGTGTATCTGCTCTGTTATACTTATTTATGAACAGCGCGTAGAATAAACAGTGCTTCTGCCTAAGGATATTTCTTACTGATAAAAGACTGTAAGACCAAGTCGGGCTAGAATGACTCAAACAATATGCTTACAAGGCACCTGGATGAAAAAGAATAAAATGATGGGGCAAGAAACATAGTGGTGTGAATTTTAGAAACAGTGTCTTTCCTGCATAACATTTTGCCCGCTGTCACAATTACTAATTCAAAAAAAGAGCTACCACAAGAAAGAACTTGCAGACAACCGAGGTAAGAGACTACCGAGAATTACGAGAGGCGGATCCCTGCCTCTGTGAACGGAGCCAAAGAGGCACTGTCGTATCCACACACACAGCCTGGCTCTGAAAGCAGCAATTATGCACAAACCCTGAAGAGCATGGTGTGTGGCATCGCTGCCTCTAAAGACCAGGGGAGTGTATGGCAGAGGGGAAGGGGGAAGGAAACTTAGGGGTTAATTTTTCTTCAGTGCTTCCTTCACAAACCAATGGAGAAGATACTGCTGGAGAAGTACTGCAGCAGGATCCCAAATAACAATAAATATCAGATTGATGCTTTTAATGGTGTTTATAGTAGAGTTTATCAACAATTCTGTTATCACCACATGAGATCTCTTCCGTCAGTCTTGCTTGTGTATTTTTAATGCCTGTTGGCACAATTCTTCATGAAACTGCAGGAGCTGATGTCGATTTACCGAATGGATTAGCCTTCTGGGACTCCCACAACAATACGTGTGCTGTTTCAATCTATTTTGATCTAAAATGGATTTGTATGTCTTTAAAATGAGCTAGCAAATTGCTGTGCTAAATAAGCTAGATTGAACGATGCACAGGAACTAATATTACTAAATCTGTATGTGAAGGCCCTGTTCTGAGAATCCTCGTAGGCCGTGTGCTGCTCAGCTTCAGGCTCTAAAAATATTGCACTGCAAAGCTGCTCTCTTGCCAAAAAGACATTACATCAGTCAACGCTGAGATTGCATTTAATATGTGCTAGGCATTAGACTCGCAGCTTGAAATGCTGTTCTCCTTGATGCTTCCACATGGTGAGGTTCATGCCAGTGCGGCGGGGCTGGACAGAATATGCTCGTTTCTTTTTAAGTCTGATGCTGACAACTGAAAAAGGGCCTCAAGGCCTTGTGTTAGCATCCTCCACCATAAGGAACGCATCCAGCGAATCCGAGCACCCTGCACTGTCTTGTGCCGTACGTGGGACATGTGACACATCTCATGGCTGACCGCTTCCAGGCCTTTTGGTAGTCGGATTTTTTTAAACTAGACCTTTCTAAGTTCCCAGTTTTTCAGTGTTTTTAAGAGAAAAAAAAAACCCTTACTGAATTTTCGTACCTTCGGGTTTGTTACTACCATTATTGTTGCTATTCAAAACAATAATGCCAGGAGCAAATGTTGAGTGTAAAAACAATAACCTTTTAAGAGCTCTATTTCACACAAAGAGATATCTATTTACAACCTTTACTCTCTTAGGCCAGTTATTTTTGTCTGTCATTGTCATTAACAGTTTATCAGTCCTCCTTTACAAGAAGTGATCAGTAAGGCTTTGTTCAGCTGCTCAGCCTCAGTGTTTTGTATTTTCCTGGTGCTGTGTTTTTTTAGTTGAAGTTCTTTGTCAACACGGCGGATGCTGTGACTAATTTTGCTAATTCTGGAAGAAAGGATTATGCTTGGATTCTGCATTGGTGTTTTGTGTCTCGGTAAAAAAGTTACAATGAGTGAGTAGTCTGGGTTATGCAGACAGTTGGGTGGGATGATACCTTCTGGCCTTCAAATCAATGGGATCTGTTTATTGCCCTATGATTCACGCTTACCTTCTGAGGCAGTCTGTAATGTCTTGTAGATGATTTTGTATGCAGAGCACCCCGTGCGATGCTTATGAGTGTATGTCTTGGATAAATGGGAAAGCTCCTAGTGAGGCTTTCGCACAGAGGCGCGAAGAGATGTTGTTGGGACACTGCAGTATTGCCAAGTTGTTCTAGTTTATACAATTCCCACAGTAGTTGACATTTTCTTTGAAGTTTCATGGTGTTTTAAGGAAGATTCACATGTATTATTTTGAGAAAAGAAAGAGGAAATCCGTAGTCCTCCTCATTGCAGAAAAACGCTTGAAAAAGTGACTGCCATTATTAAATCACCCCCCCATATCACCCAGCAACCCAGAAAACAAAGAGAAAAAAAACATTAGGTTTAAAACCTTAAGTTGTTTAAGGATTTTTATAGGGTCTGATTAAGATTCTGTATGCTCAGGGTAAGAAACCCCGTAAGTCGCAAGTCTTACGGTTTCTCAGTCCAGGCGCACACACAGCCGTGACCTGACTCCATCCGTGCCGGGGCGAGCCGTGGTTGTGCTCCAGCCCTCCCTGTGCCCGGCCTTCCAGGGGAAGGGAATCTCCTCGTGTGCCGGCCGGCGGGGAGGCAGCGAGTACTTCCCTGGCAAGCAGGGCACCAGGGCTTAGAGGTGTGCTGTAGTTCAGGCACAGCCTCTAGATAGCCTAAAAAAAAACAAAAAACAAAAAATTAAAATTCTCAGAATTCACGGCTGACATATTGATTAATTAAACAAACACAAAACGAGAGATTCTCGACAACAAGTAGCGCTCTGAAGTGCCTGTAGGCCGGGCGATGTGCTGGGCCGGTGCCTGAAAGCGACCCAGTCCTGCTGTCTGTTGGACGGCGAGGCAGCCCCGCCATTTCGGATGACCTGATTTAATTGCGCCAGTTGAGAGACATGCAGAAAAGGAAGCGTGCCTCCGAAGGAGTGACAGACCCATTCAGCTGTTAAAATGCCCTCTCTCCCAATAAGCATGGCTGCTATTAATTGTAGAGATAAGAACACATTTTCCCCCTAACCTTACGCTGTCGTTCGGCTAAATTTGCTGCCTCGAGGGAAGCACGTTTCTGTACAGGACTCGGTAAACAACACAGGGAGAGTTCAGGGTCTCAAGAAGACGATGGAGCTCTCTGCCAGGGCGACTACAAGGCCGTGCTGCCCAGGAAAGGAGGGAAAGCAACCGGACGCTGCTCCCTCCCGTGCAAGCACTGCTCTGGCACCGAGGCGAGAGGCAGCAGCCGCCGAGAAAACTTTATTCCCTCCCCGAGGCCCGTCCTCCGGGTGGGCGCAGGGCAGGCGGCACCCCGGTACGTGGAAGGGGGCCGGCACGAGGAGAGGAAAAAAGCTGGAGTTTTTCGGGGAAGAAGCAAGAGGAAATCGTGACTTTTGGAGTGGGAATCCTTTCTCGGCGTGGGCCGTGAGCTGCCCGGTTTGGCACCGCTCTTC